CAGACAGAGAATATATGTCCAGATCAATACATGCACACACACACACTGTATATGCATCCCAAATTTTATATATGGGGGCAGAAGAGAGGCTGGGAGAGACCACAGCTTTTCACACACACACAGGTACCCCACATGCATTTTTACAGGGGGAAGGATGCGATGGGGGTATTTTTTACCATGCTCTGTGTAGGTCTTTCTCTCCCTCTTGGCGGAAAAAGGAAAAGATGGGAAGAATGGTAGAAAACAGACACACACACACACAATCAGTTACATATGTAAGAACTAGTTACATATATTACAAATAAATGTTTAAATGAAGTGTGTGTGGCTGGAGACATGGGGAGTGCTCTGTGTGTGTGAATAGTGCATGTGTGCTTCGTACTTGTACACAAGCACAAATGTGTGTGTGTGGCAAGAGAAAGACTGAGCAGCTGACAATTTCTGCATGAATATGTACAATTTCACAAATATGTATATGTGCATGCAGGGAGAGAAAGGGCATTGTGTGTTTTTAAGGCTACAGTGTGTGTGTGAATAACTCTAATTATATATGTAATAATATATAGAATGATGTATTGATATATATATGTGGATATATAGCAGAAGAGATTTTGTGTTAGTGTGAACAATCTTGGTGAATACACTTTTCCATATCTATATCCCTGCAGAGAGAGGTGAATGAACAGGTCACTCTCTCTGCCCTCCATATATGGTATATATGCATATATGTGTGTGTATATTTATAGAAAAGTGTGTGTGTGTGTGTGTGTGTGTGTGTGTGTGTGTGTGTGTGTGTGTGTGTGTGAGAACAACTCTCTCTCTGTAGATGCACATGTACCTATGTGTGTGTATATATAAATATATATATTGCAGGCAAACTTGTATGCAAAGAGCTCTCATCCCTTTCTAAGCACAGTTCTATGTATATAAGTGGAATGAGAGAATTACACTCATTGTGAACATCTGACATGTTTTTGCTCTATATATGTACATGAGTGTGCAAATAGTGCTTTCTCCAGTTATATATGTATATATATGCATATAAAAAGAGAATTCTATGTGTGACGTTTATATATATATATATATATACAAATATATGTACACATATTGGTTTATTTATTACAAAAAAGCATTTCATGGGTGAGACCATGTGTATATACATAGAGAGAATATATATCAGAAAGTGTTATATGTGAAAACAGTTCTCTGAACAGCTCAGTGTGTTTGTATGTGTGCACATCTATAAATATATAGTCTATGTCATATATAATATATAATATACTTTATGTTCAACATATTACATATACCATACCTGCTACTTCATCCTCCTAGCATCTAAGTGTATATGTATAGGTACATGGAGGGTGTGCACGTGTGTGTAGCAAGAAAATTGTGTAATTGTATGAAAGAACAACTGTCTCTCTGTGTAGATGCATGTATATAAATATGTATATCTGTGTGCAGGAAGAGAGGAAGAGAAGTGTGAGTGTTAGCAGCTCTTTAAGTACAATACAGAGTGAGAACTGTGCATGAAATCTGTATATGTACATATATATATGCATCTCTATATTCATATATAAGGCAAGAGAGCACTGTGTGTGAGAATGGCTCTTAGTGTCTCTGCTCATGTGTGTAACATATGGAGAGAGAATATATCAACATATATACATAGATATGCATATATTTATGTATTCCAGAGAGTATGTATGGAGAGTGGCAAAGAGCGAGAGAGAGAGAGAGAGTCATGGAAACTGTGTTCATGTGTATGAATTGTTCTCACTCATTTAGTTATTTATATATGTCTAAATATATAGATATGGCAAGAGAGAGGATATGTGTGAACAGAGACTGTTGCTGTGTGAGGATCTTTGTGTGTATGGGTGCATTTATTTATATATAACAAGAGAGAATTGTATGTGTGTGCAAATGGCTGTCTCTCTAATTATACATGTATAATGTATATATAAATATGTAGAGAATTATGTGAGAAAACAGCCTCTCTCTACATATAGAAGTACATATATATGTTACAGCTTTCTCCCTAAATAATATATTTTATATATATTATAAATAGTATTATATATAATATATATTGTATATATTATAAAATAGAAAATATATATTCAATACAATAATATATATAATATATATAAATATATATTATAATATATATATTTACGTGTATACTCATGTAGTGAGCAATTTATGTGTGTGAACAGCTCTCCTCTAACTCTGTATGTTCTGTTAGAATTATGTGTGAACATCTGTGTATATAAGGGTATGTATGTATATATGGAATATATACATATCTATACAGGAACAGAAAAGAAAGGACTGTCACGTGTGAAAACAGCTCAGTATATAGGTGTATATGCATATATATGAACAGAGAACAATATGTATAAGTAAAGATTTCTCTAATTATATTTGTATAAATTCATATATAGATAATTATTACTGAACACTCTCTGTACACATGTACACTACACATTCAGAGAAAGAATTATGCAGAGATGATACAATTATATAGGGTAGGGAGAGAGAGAGTGATATAAAATCTGTGTGTTTGAGACAATAGGTCTTGCTCTTTTCCTCGGGTATATATGTACATGTATCTATAGACAGCAAGAGAGAATAATGTGTGTGAACAGCTCCCACTCTGTGTCTCTGTGGATATATGGATGTATAATAGTGAGAGAGAATAGTGTGCAGGTATTTGTGTGCACACAGAGAGGGCAGGAGAAAAGAATGAGAGCTTATCCCCGTATCAGTATATATTATTATAATAATAATATAATAGACTGCATATATGTCTGCGTGTGCATAGTGAGAATGTTTGAACAGCATGCTCACGCTCATCCCCCATTTCTATATATGCCAACATGGGTGTGTATATAGCAGGAGAGAGCTGCCTGTGAACCTCTCACACTGTGTCTGTGGATTGGATGGATGGATGGATGGATGGATGGATGGATGGAGGAATGGATGGATGGATATGAGTGCCGTGTGTGTGAACAAGGCTTGCTGTGTCCATGTAAGTGTAGGTGTTTGTATGGGGACTGTGTGTGTGTGTGTGTGTGTGCTGGGGCTGTTTTCTCCCATTCTCTGTTTCTCTCACACACACAAGCAGCCTCCCCCACACATTCTAGTCACATAGATATACCTGCATGTACTTCCACACGTGTGTTCCATTCCCTAGCCTGTCTTTGGAGGGGAGGGAGAGAAGCCCTCGCTGGCGGCCCTGGCTCTCTGTGGCTGGGGCTTGGTGCTGTTAGCCTGTGCTGCTCCCAGCCACACAGCCGGGGGGAGATCAGTGCACTCACTGCCCAGCCCTGCCTGCACACCCACCCACCTACACACATGTATTGCTCTTAAATTTTCATTTGTTTATGTCAGTATTTCAAAATACATAGCTAAGTCTTTATGTGTATGCATGCACTTATATTTATTTTAAATTTACATGTAGTTATGACATTAAACAACTATCAGATATCACACATCCATAACAGACACAACATGCATACCAACCACACTCTATAGCCGGCTTAGCTGTAAGCTTCCATCCGGCCGCAGCGTTTCACGTACACGCGTACAGGTGTGTGTTTGCATGTCACACACACGTACACATCGTCCCCCCGGCCAGTGACAGCCGGTGACAGGGGCGATGCTCGGTGCTCCTGGTGCTCCCGCTGGGGATGCCGGGGCCTCCCTCGGTGCCCGGAGCCCCTCACGGCGGGGCGGGCCGGGCTGCAGGGGCAGAACCCGCTGCTCTGGGGCTTCTCTCGCGGGCTGGGGGAGCGGGGCCGGGCCGGGCACCGCGCTCCGGCTGGGGATGGGCTCACACAGCGGCCGGGCAGGATCCCGGCGCCCCACGGACCGCCGAGACCGCGGGCAGGCAGCCGGGGCTCGTCCCTGCGCGGCGGGGGCTGAGGGCCAGGAAATGGCGGAGAGAGTCGGGGGATGGGGATGGGGATGGGGAGGGGGAGAAAGGGAAGGCGGCGGGGCTGTGCGGGCTCGGCGTGCGTGGGCAGGGGGCGGGGTGAGACAGTCTGTGCGGTGTGACCGTGTGTGTGTCTGTGCATGTATGTGCGTGTGTGCATGTTTGTGTGTGTGCATATGTAGGGGGTGTGCACACCCGGGCACGCCCCCGTGCCTGTGCCGGCTGTGGGGCTGCCGCCGCGCACTCACACACCCGGCCCACCCGCGGCGGGGGCGCACGGATCCCACGGATCCCACGGATCCCACTCCCAGGAGCGGGGGCAGACGAGCCCCTGCTGGGCCAGCGCCGGGGCTCGGCCGGGGAGGCGTCGTGCGCTCCCTTCTCCCCTCCCCCCGAAGCCGCGTTTCCCCGGGGGGATTTGGGGAGATAGAGTGAATTATGGGGGATGGGGGGAGGGTGGGGTGTGTTCAGAGCATCGCTGCCTCCCCCTTCCCCCCAGCCCATACAGAGCCGCGCCTGCAGCGGGGTTCGAGCCCCCCGCCCCGCTAGCACGGCCCGCAGAGGCTGCAGGGGCGGACACAATTCACACACTCCCCCCACACCCACGGGCCCCCGGGAGGCTTCCCGGCCCCTCCCCAGCCCTACCGCGGCCCCGCCGCGCTTTTTGTATCCTCCGCGGCGGGGCGATGGCCGCGGGGAGTGGGGGTCACACCGGACACGCAGGGCTCCCCCGCTGACCATGGGGGTGAGGGTCGGTGGGCGGGCGGCCCCAGTCGCGGGGACGGGGACCCGGCCGCGGCGGGGCATCTCTGCGCTGCTGCCGGCGGCCGCGGGAGGGCGTCGCCTGTGTTAGCGCCCCGCGGAGAACCCGGGGCCAGCGCCGCCGCCACCGCCCCCCGCCCCCCGCCCGCGGCGGCCCCTCTTGGGCGGCGGGCGACGGCGACGGAGCCGAAGTGAGGCCCCAGTCGCCTCCGTGCCGGGCACCCCCCTCTTCGCTGCCGCGCCCCCAAAATCTGGGCGGGGGTCGTCGGGCGGCGGCGGGCCCGGGGCGGGGGGCGCGGCCGCGCAGAGCCCCGCGCAGCGCAGCCCGGGGCTGGCGGCCGACCAGGCTGTTGTTGTTCTCAACGTGGTCCGCCCCGCGCCCATATAAAAGGCGGCGGCGGCGCCCGCCCCGGCAGAACGCGCACCGAGTGGAGCAGGCACAGCGCGCTCGCCGGGCCCCGCCGCTGCCCCCGCCCGCGCCCCCGGCCCGCCACTCCCCGCACCATGTCGGTAGACCTTGAAGAAAGCGATCTGCCCCTGGCCGAGGCAGAGGAGGCGCCGCTCTCCCCGGAGAAGAAAGCGGCTGCTAAGAAGGCGAAAGGAGGCGGCGGCGCCTCGTTGTCGCCATCGAAGAAAAGGAAGAACAACAAGAAGAAGAATCAGCCGGGTAAATACAGCCAGCTAGTGGTGGAGACGATCCGCAAGCTGGGCGAGCGCAATGGCTCCTCGCTGGCCAAGATCTATAATGAGGCCAAGAAAGTGGCGTGGTTCGACCAGCAGAACGGCAGGACTTACCTAAAGTACTCAATCAAGGCACTGGTGCAGAACGACACGCTGCTCCAGGTCAAGGGCACCGGTGCCAACGGCTCCTTCAAGCTCAACAGGAAGAAACTGGAAGGCGGCGGGGAGGGGGGCGCGGGCAACAGCGCCCACAAGTCCCTCAAGAAGGCGACGGTCTCCTCGACCCGGCGGGCGGAGAAGCCGGCGGCCAAGAACAAGAAGCCCGAAAAGAAATCGCACAAGAAGGGAGCCGGCGGCGCGGCGGCGAAGAAGGACAAGGGCAAAGCCAAGAAGGCCACCAAGAAGGGAGCCGCGTCCCCCGGGGGCAAGAAGGTGAAGAAGTCGGCAAAGCCCAAGGCGCTCAAGAGCCGGAAGGCATGAGATCGAGGCGCTGGGAGCCTCCCGCCGCCCTCCGGACTGAGAGCCCCGCGGCACAGACTGCTCTGAGGACAGACCCCAGGGGACCCGCTTTGTCTTTGTGTTGCCGACTCGCCTCCGCAGCCGCCGCCGCGCGCGGTGAGCGGGGCTGCGGCTGCCCCAGCCCCCCTTCCCCTTCTCTGCCGCCTTATTTTGTCCACCCCTTCCCCCCCATCCCATTCCGCGGCTTCTCCCCGATCGCGCCCTTTTGTTTTCGGCCGTGCCCCTCCCCGCCTGTAGACGGTTCCCGGCCCCCACCCCCTCCCGCGTCCCCCCGGTTCTTCACGGCGCTTTTTCCCGCCCGGTTTCCATAGCAGCCATTTTGCACGGGGCCCCCCCCGCGCCACGTGGGCCGGTCCCGCTCCCGCCGCCCGCGCGCGCCCCGCCTGGCCCCGCCCCTCGCGCCGCGCCCGCCCGCGGCCGCACCGAGGCGCCACGGCGCCCCCTGGCGGCCCGCGCCGCCGCCGCCATGGCAACGGCGGGGCCCGCGGGAGCGCCGCCCCTCGGCCGCCGGCCGCACCTGCAATGGCCTTCAATGTTTTTGTATGGGGCTGGGGTGGGTGGGCTGGGGAGGGTTTGGCTTAGTGGGGTCATTTTTTTTGGTTGTTTTTTTTTTGTTTTTTTTCCTTTTCATTTATCGTCGTTTCAAATAAATTGGTACAAAACGATTGTCCCGTGTGCTCCCTGCAGGCGTCGGGAAGCGGGCAGGAAGGGGGCTGGTCCTGGGGAGGCTTTCCTGCTCCTCGGGGTCCGGCCGGGCGCCGATGCCCAGAGCCCGCACGCTGGAGGGTCCCCGGCCGTGGAGGCGAGGGAGGAGCGCCGCCCTTGCGCAGCGGCGCTCGGCGGAGCTCCTGGAGCAGTGGGGCGGGGGCAGCCCCGGCGGCCACCGCAGCACACAAACGCCCCCGGCCCCTCAGCCCTGGGTCGGAGCGGGCGGCCGGCCCCGGCCCCGGGCCGAGTCCCGCCGGCAGGAGCGGCAGCGGGGGCAGAGCCGGAGCGCCCCCGGCGCTCTATTTATAGCGCAGCCGGCGAGGTTGCGTAAATCCCGACAGGGATCTGGGCCATCTTGTGCTGCTGCGGGAGGGCGAGGGACGAGCTCCGGCTCATTGCCCTCCTGCCCTGGGGCTGCGGGAGAGAGAGGGGACAGGAGCGGCAGCCCAGCCCGTGCAGCGGGGATGGGAAGCGAGGCACGGAGGGCAGGAGCGGGTGGAGGTGCACGGTACCTCCCAGGCCGCCTGTGGGTAAGCCCCTGGCTGCGCTGCCATCGGCCCAGCTCTCAGCCCCACAGCAGGGCCCTGCCCCACGGCCTCCACCAGCCAGGGAGAGCTTCAGGCACTGCCCGAGAGCTGCTGCAGCCCTGGCGAGCTGCTGTGCTGGAGCATCAACATGCTCCCTGTGCCTAGGGAACACAGCATGGATCAGCCTCATAGCCAGCATCCTGCAGGAGGAGGAGGCAGGGACAGCAGCCAGTGGGCATAGGGACTGTCACACCAGGCGGTGGCAGGGCCTTTCAGCACTCCTGGAAAGGAACAGCCCCTTCCTCCAGGGCCCCAGTCAGGGGGCAGGCCTGGGCCTGCTTTATCCCTTTGTCCCCTGAGAACAAGCAGGGAGAAGGGAACCAAGTTTTACTCCCAGAAGAAAAGTCCTTTTTATACATACAGCAAGAAAAGCCAGCCATGCTCCTGGAAGAGACCAGCACTGGTCTGCTACAGGAGGCTGCAGCCTCCCTCCAGGTCTGTATTTAGAAACAGTCACGATCCTGCTGGCCCACACCAAGAGAGACAGATTGCTGCACTGTGGCACTGACCTGCAGTTGTGTCCTTAGTCAATAGCTGCAGGTTTGGGAGGGCCAGAGGGGATGCCCTCACCAAGGGCTGGGACACAGGAGGGGGAGGTTCAACCAACCCCATCTCAGGGCTCAGCTCTCCTTGGCACTCATCTGCATGGCAAACTGTAACCACGTCTCCAGGCAGAGCAGCAGGCACACTCCTGTGGGCAGGTAAAAGCAGAAAGAAGGCAGTGACCCTCCAGCTGCCCAGCACAGGGAAGGCAGCAGGGTGACACTGTGCCGATCCAGCTGGAGCTGTCTTACCTCACAGGCTGAGCCTGCCAGGAGCCATGATGCTGGGGCATCCCTGAATGAGCTCCCTTGGGTGCTGCCAACCATGAGGGCCAGGCTCTGGAGACAAACCCAAGCCCTGGGGACTTTCAAGAGCCCGTGACTCATCTCATCAAACTGCCAGAGCTGAGGGACACAGCTGGCAGAGACTGTGCTGCACGTGGTGATGCACAGCAGCCTCCCACAGCAGGCAGCTTTCAGCTCCCAGTCTGCTGGAAGTCATCCCAGCTTCAGGTACCCGAGAGACAAAGGAAGAATCCTGCAGCCTCCCAGCCCTCTTCTTAAGGGAAGCACGCACCAAGAAACACTCTTCCAGGTTCACTTCACCTCTGAGGAAGGCTCTACTCAGCCAAGCCCTTCACATTTTATATGCTCAGCTATTCTGGTGCTATGAAGCATTCAGAATAGCCAGGATCAGTAACACCCCTCCAGAAAGGACAAGACCTGTCCCTGAAGCTGCCAGCTTGACAGTGACCACATTTACTCCAGCTTTATAATGAAGACTAAGACTTCCAAATCTCCTGGTCACAATGTTCAGCTGTGAAGTTTATGAGGTGATAAAGGCCAAGCACTTCAGCAATGCTTGCTGCGACAGACAGGATTTCCTTTGGTCTGGCTTGCCACATCCCAGCTTTCCCAGCTGGTCTGTCACATGCCAGCAGAGGAAGTTCAGAATCCAGCTGGAGCTCAGTGTCGAGGACACTACGTGCCACCAGCACCCAGTCACTGCACCCTCACCACTCCACCAGCCCCAGCAGAGGCACACAGAACCCAGGGGGCTGCAGCACCCAGGCAGCAGCCCCCCGTGTGCTGGCAGTGCAGCCGGCAGGGCAGCAGTGACACTGCCCTACAGAAACCTGCCCAGCACCCCCAGCCTGCACCCACACCTCCTGCAGCCCTGCAGACCAACCAGCACCCAAGCCTAACACCACTTGGATTTGTCCAGGCTTCCCACAACCCTTCCTCCCTAGAACCCAACCATGGTGCAATACTGGTTTGTAGAGTAGCCTCCAGAACAGCCAGCTGGGAATGTCCAACAAAGGAGAGGGTGCGAGAGGAACAAACAGCCTTGCATCTCAAGGTTCTTCCCTTCAGGATTGCTTTTCTCATCTCTGCCTACTTGCCTGCAAGGTCACCCAAAGGCTCCTGGATCAGCCCATGGGGCACCTTCAGCACTGGGAGAGGGTCCTGGGTCCAGCCTCAATCCTCCTCCACTGCACCCAGCCAGGAGCAGCTGAAGCTTCCTGGCACTCGTGACAGACTGGCAGTGTGGCACTCCCACAGCAGGGAGAAGAACCAAACAGTATTATCTTCTCCCAGGGTAGGAAAAGACTCCCTAAGTGAAGGGCAAACACACAGTCTAGCAGTGGTCCTGTCTGGTGTTTTACTAGTCCTCCCCTTTGGAGAACACAGAGCCCAGACACCACAGAGCCTGCCAGATTCCATGAGTTTGGTGAGGTGACAAGACACGGCACATTTAAAAGCATTCAACAGGGAACCAGTTTAATCAGGTATCAGGTTTGCACCATTCTTTTCAGAATCACAAGTTCTGCATTTTTCTAAGAAATACAAAGCACTCTCAGGTTTACAGAATGCTGGTCCTGGAGAAAACAAGAGGGAAAGAACAAGACACTAGGATACAGACACTAGGATACTGGGCAGAAAGGGAACTGCTCATCCCCACGTCGCTGATGGTAACAGCCCCTGCAGGAGGCAGAGAGATCCCAGGGGGTCTGTGCTGCTGCAGTGGGGCTGTGCCCTGCTGTCCCCACCCACCGAGGTCAGGATACCCCCGTGGGATTGTAGGACACCTCCACACCCCCATCAGCACGACTCCAATGAACACAGCGCTCCCACATACCAGAATGAAAAACCCCTGCATAAAGCCAGCTGACAAGCATCCAGGTTCATCTACTCTAGGTAACATTAAACTCAGATCCAGGGTAAATTACTTCATCCACAAGAATAACAGCTGATTCAATAGCTTGAACACATGCTACTTACAGCACATAAATAGAAGATACTCTTTTTTTTTACTTAAAAAACGTGTGATGAAGGTCTAGGTCTGACTGCCTCAACACTGCTGCATGCACACAACTATGGGCCTCACAGAAGCGGCTGCGCTGGGCAGCAGGAAAGCTGTCTCTGCATCACCTATTCCAGGGGTCACGGGACAGCTGTCCTGCCCCCATGCTCGACATCAGCCACACAGCCAGGAAATAAATATGGCACTAGCCAGGAGTGGGCTTTAATACAAACTCTAGTGGTTTTCAAAAGAAATATTAATCCATAAAGGGTTACAGTTAACAGGTATCATCATCACTTTATTTCTCAGAGCCAGAAATAGTGCTGAACAAACAAACAACAACAAAAAAAGAGACAGAGTATGTAATTTCCAGAAGTGCAACCAGGGTACAGGGTAGCTCTCAGCGAGACGAAGGGCTTGTGCAGCTGGGAGAGGAGGGGAGCCATGGCAGAAGATGGCAGCTCCCGCTCCCGGCGGGCGCCTGACCTTGCGACGCTCTCCGAGGGGATTTGTCACCGCAGCCTCCACCCCACCCCGCTACCAGGACCCACGGCATGCAGGAACACCGAGCACCCCAGCACCCACCGAGCCGGGGAGCTGCAAGGAGGTGACTTTACAGGGATGTACCCAAAAATAGAGACCTTAAAATAAATAGGACCAAAGCTTCTTTACAGTAGGCAATGCACTAGTTTTACCATGAACAAAACTAAGACTAACAGCCACTTCTTGCCAATGGAGAAACTTTTTCTCCTCTTCACGTTTTCCGGCCCCCTTCCCTCGCAGCTGCAGTGCGGCCAGGATGGCATTGCTGAGGATGGAGGCGGGGGCACGGCAGCAGCGAGTACACACCAGGGCGAGCAGGGCCAGCCGGGGGGGCCCTGCATAGTCCCAGGGCTGGCAGAGGGGAGAGGCAGCCGGGGGTGCCTGCGTCCATCCCTTTGCCAGCTACAACAACCCTCAGCAGCTACCAGCAGCTCGGCACCGTGACCTGACCACACGGCTCCAGATGTCACCACTGCCAACGGCTGTGACCCAGCTGCCTTCTCCAAAACCAATTCTTCCAGAGGGAAGAGAGGCAGAGCAGGGGCACAAACAGGGCCTGACCTCACCCATGCTCACCCAGCACCCTGCCACAGCCCAGGCCAGAGGGGCTAGTGACGGGCTGGTGGGGTGCTGCCAGGGCTCACCACCCGGCCCGGGCTGGGGGGCAGGACGGGGAACCCCAGCCCCACTGGCAGGAGAGGTGAGGCAGCGGTGAGAAGGGAGCTGGGGGCAGGGGGTCGGGAGGCAGCGCTCACTTCTTGGAGCTCTGCGTCTTCTTGGGCAGCAGCACGGCCTGGATGTTGGGCAGGACGCCGCCCTGGGCGATGGTCACGCCGCCCAGCAGCTTGTTGAGCTCCTCGTCGTTGCGGATGGCGAGCTGCAGGTGCCGCGGGATGATGCGCGTCTTCTTGTTGTCGCGGGCCGCGTTGCCCGCCAGCTCCAGGATCTCAGCCGACAGATACTCCAGCACGGCCGCCAGGTACACCGGCGCCCCGGCGCCCACCCGCTCCGCGTAGTTACCCTTCCGCAGCAGCCGGTGCACCCGCCCCACGGGGAACTGCAGCCCGGCCCGCGACGAGCGCGACTTGGCCTTGGCCCGCGCCTTTCCGCCGGACTTCCCCCGGCCCGACATGGCCGGCAGGCAGCGGCCGCTCGGCCCCGCCTCTGAAGCAGCGCCGCGCACAGAGGGTCCCGGCGCCTGCGGGGAGACAAACGCCGTTACACCGCGCGGGGCCGCGCCGCCCCGCCCGCGCCCGCCGCCCTTACCGCAAGCGCTGCCGCCGCTCCGCGCCGCGCGCCGCCCGCCGCCGCACTGCCCGGCCCGCCGCCGCCGCGCCGCGGATATCGCCGCCCGCCCGCCGCACGCCTCGTCCCATTGGCTACCGCCGCTGCCGCCACGGCGCTGATTGGTTATCGTGCCAATCCCTGATTTGCATAGGGCTCCCGGCGCCGCGGCCCCGCCGCGGGCCGGCGCCCAGCGCGGGCAGCGCCGCGGCTCTGCCCGCTCCGCCCGCGCTCCGCTGCCGCCTGCCGCCGCTGCCGCCTGCCGCCGCTGCCGCCTGCCGCCGCTGCTCCCCGCGCCCCGGCAGCTGCTTCTGCCTGCGTCGGGGCCGAGGATGGGGGGAGGGGGCTTGGCCCGAGCGCCCGGTGGTGTCTCGGCTGCGCTGTGCCCCTTTGCCTTGCCCAAACCCATGGCCCCTTCCTCGGCCAGCGGGATGTCTCTCCCGGAAGGACACCAAAGTCTGCGGGCGGGGGCGATGCTATGGGGAAAGAACCCCTGACAGGGAGGGCAACCCCTAGCGAGTACTACCCTCCCTTGTCTCCTCACGGATCAAAGGGGAAAGTTTCTCCCAAACCAGTTTCTGTGGACAGTCAGGGTTGACTGTGGTCATCTCTGCTCCAGGTTAGAGGAACTGCCTCAAATAGCCTTGGGTGAGCAGCCAGAGTCCAGTTTAAAGGTGATGTAGCACAGCAATAACACATCCTCATTAAACACTCAGCGCAGGGGTTTTGTTGGTTTTTTTGGTGATGCTGCTGGTGCTCACAGTCCGGAGGGAGATAACCTGTACCCTGTGCCTTTGCATTACCCCTGCATCCCCAAGGGAAGGATTATATTCTCCAGAGCTGGGAAAGTTGAGCATCCCCCCACTCGTGCTCAGCATCTTCACTCCCTCCACAGCAACTGGAGACCTGAAATGAATTCGAGATGAGCTGGTGACCTTTAGAAAAGCCTCATGTGCAGTTCCCACTGACTAGACTGGGGCAGCTGAGCAGCTCATCCTGGAACAGTGAGGGGCAGGCAGGGAGAGAAACTTCCCATTGTGGCTCCTGCAAGGACAGGTATCAAGGTGATAGTGCCAGCAGCCAAAAATCTATTCTGCCAGGAGCTGCTAATACAGTGATTCTCTTGCCTCAAGTCATGGTGACAGCAATGAGGAGCCAGATAGCAACAGGCTTTCTGGATAGAAATCCTAATCCCACCCCAGCTTCCTGTAAGTCTTGAAACCCGCGCTCAGCTGCCTCTGTAGCACGCGAGGGATTCCGAGGCAGATTTCATTCTAAGAGCACTTGGATCTCCCCAGGTGTCCACCCTGTGGCTCCTGCCCTGGCTCTGCAGTCCCTCCCCAGGGATAAGGCTCAGCTACAGCCACCCTTGCAGCTCCCCAGGGATAGATGACTCTAGAGGAGCCCCAGAATCAATCCCAGGGAATAGTTACCACTGGCAAATGGACATGATGCACCAACATGGCCTCGCAGAACTCAGACCCTGAGAGCTCAGCAGTGGGTAGGTGGTTTGCTCCTCAGCAGCTGGAGAGGAGGTACAAGCTCTGCCTGCAAACCAGGAGCACTGGGGCTGCCTGCAGTGGGCAAGAGGGACGCAGACACGCACATGGACAAGGGCACGCCGCAGCCAGCCAGTGAAGCCCATTTTATTGTTTCCAACACAAAGGAAGTACTGATTTCTAGCAAGGATTTCAGCATGTAAGGCTTTTGGTCTGTAACATCTGGCTCTGTTTACAAAATCCCTGACCTCAAAAACAACGGCCCTATGCTGTTCTGTAATGGCACTTAGGTTATCTGGGCTTTAATGACTGGCCTTTTCAAATAAGGCAAAGTGCGTCCCTTCCCAGATCAAGGAAATCCTCTCTAAATCTTCAAATCCCATTAACAAAATGATAGTACAAACAACGTGACAGACACACTGTTTCACAGCAGGGAAACCTAAGCCAAGTCCAGCTCCTCCCAGGTGCCACTTGAACATCTCCCTGTTTAGGAGCCATGAATGCACACAGCAATGCTGGTGCAGAGCAGGGTGGATCTGCCAGATCTTCCCAACCTAGGGTTTCCTCATAATATTTACTGCTCGTTCCTCAGTACTGCAGCCATCTTTTGAGGGCAAGAGTCTTGGAAAGGAATTTGTACAGAATCAGTGTGGAATTAAGTGGAAAAGAGATATAAGTTTAACATCAAAAAAAGGGAAGGGGAAACCAAACAGAAAGAGACATGAACTATGAACATTGTCAGGAGGCAGAAGCTATTCCTCCCTAGCAGGCTGAGATGCTTCTCAGGGTTCTCAGGGCTTTATCTTTGCTTGCCTCCCTGCATGACTGGCAGGGAGGGAGGCCAACATTCAATATTCACTCCTATCAGCATAAGACAAAGCCAAAATCTTCACAAACAACAACCTTTAACAAAACATGAAAAAAGACAACAACCTAGTGCAACAGATCAACACCTGAGAGGATTGGACAATTTCAACACCAGTCTGTAAAGCCTTCCAAAAATACCATTTCTCACTCTGCTTAGGAAAATCAGGGGTAAAAGAGATGGCCAGCCATCTCAGCTGGTGCTAAGCCTTGTGCTTCTTCGCAGCTGGCTGTCCCTGCTTCCCCAGCCACTGCTGCAGGACATCTGCGCTGGTTTTCTTGGGCGAAGGGCTGTGGATGAACTGACTTTTCCACTTGGGCAAATCGTTTTCTTTCTTCTGGGGAGAGCCCTCCTGGGAGCTTTTTAACCAGCCCAACATCACTTTGTTGCTTGGAGTGGCTTTCACCTCCTGCATAGAAAAAAGACAGTGTGAGAGAAGTCAGAACCACAGAGAGAGAGGGCAGCTAGCCAGCTGCAAGAGCTGGTCCAGAGCGGGATGTGGAGGCTGGAGCTATGGCCCTGCCTGCAACCAGGCACATCTGTGGGAGGTTCCCCAGACTGCTGTGAACAGGCTTGTTCCAAGACCCATTTCACATGGAATTTGCCTCATTTGGCAGCAAAGTCCTGGCATGGGCTGACAGTTTTATTTCTGGAAGCAGAGGGAAGGGAATCTGTCCAGGGCTCAGCACTCCAGCATCAAGCATGGGTATGCTCTGCAGACACTGCCTACTGCCACTCCTCCTGCAGCCTGGCAGCTCTGACCCAGCTCAGACATCATCGTGGCTGAGCTCCCCTCTGCTAAGCCCCCACCAGCACCCACCTTCTTGGCTCCCAGCTCAATGGGTGCAACACACTCAGGTGTGTTGTTGCGGATGTTGTTGACAAAGGCGGACACTGGATGGAAAACAATGTTCTCTGTGGGCTGGATGAGTTTAACAGCTTCTTGGGTTGGCACTTCAGCAAAGTCCAGCCATTTCCTGATGGCTTCATCCCCATCCAGGATGGCTGGCATCCTAAGGGATAAAACAGTTGGAGCCAAAGCTCAGCAGCAGTATGTCAGTGTGGTGGCAAAAGCCAGACTTGTAAGCTAGCAAGGAGCTGGCATCTTGGGGGCAACAGGGAAAACTGAAGCAGCAGAATGCTCTTCTGCAAGGCAGAATGTGCATTCACTTCATCCAGGAAGCTGATTTACTGGAAGAGGCAGAGGGGTTGACTGCCAGGCCCTGATCAGGCGAGGAGACCAATTCCAGAATGTAATCCAATTCCAACTTCCATCCACAGAGCACAAAGATGGTAATTTATGGAAAGGGCATGAGCTGGTGGCCCGAAATCAATCAGTAGCACTTCTGCCCGAGAGCAGGAGGAGGCTGCTGCACTCTGTGCCTGTGTGTTGCCAGACTGGTGTCTAGAGGTGCAGTTCTCCTACTTCATCCCCCTCCACCCTGCAACCCCCTTGCCTGCTGTCACTTGCCTGTGATGGATGAAGCTCACATCCTTGGAAGCATCCACAGTGATGATGGTGTAAGTGTACAGCATTTCACCTCCCCCTGGTGGCTCCCAGCAGTCAAAAATCCCAGCCATAGTAAGCAACCTCCATCCTTTCCATTCTTCATCTCCCTCCATCTCCTTGTCCTGCAGGAGAGAGGCCCCATTGTCCTGGTCACCGTGGTCAGCCAAAGCAGCACAGGTTTGCCAGTGCTGAGGCAGGTCAGTGACTCAGATCTGAGTAATGAACAGAACTAATCTGAGGCTCTCCAGGAGTTTCTCTACCGATTTGAGGTAACTCCAGGAGAAGTACCAGGACCCTCATCTTCCCACAGGCAAGCCAGTCTGAATATTCTAGCCACTGGTTCAGCCAAATGAAAGAGGTAGTGAAACTCCCAGCCTAGTCCCCTGTGAGCCACACTGCCCACCCATGCAAATATCTGGCACGTGGGGAGCAGTGACCGTGACAGGAGGGACGCTGCGTCACCTTTCACAGCCTGGAGACCGCTGCGATGGGGACCGCCAGCCACAGCAGGGTGACAGAGCGCCGAGCCCGGCACTGAACTCAGCCCTGCTGGGGAACAGACTCCCAGGGATGGGCAGAGCAGGACAGAATTGGGCTTTTCCCCAGGCAGCTGAAGGGAGCAGGGGCCAGAGCTGGGTGCAAGTGTTCGGACACAGCAAGGGACTCCATACCATGGCATCCTTGGTCTGGGGGAAGTAAATGAAATAGGGTTGCTTCCCCCCACTGTGCTGCTGCCACTCGTAGAAGCCATCTGCCAGGACCACGCAGCGCTTGCCCTTGAGGAGAGCACCCTGGGGAGAGACAGCACAAGTGAGCGGTGAGCAGCAGCCTCAGGCAGCCTGCAATGGCAGAAGGGCTCCTGAAACCACCCAGCCCTCTCAGTCCCTCCCAGGACTTTCCTGAATTGCCCCTGGGATACACAAATGCCACAATTAGTGCGATGTTGAACTTTACCAGTTGAGCTTTTCAGTTCTTCTGTTTTAGTGAAAGCCCCAGCTTTGCAGTACAGGGACTTCCTCCCCTGTGCAATGGCAAGTGATGATCAGTACTGGCCTAGCAGATGTTTCTGGCCTGGTTTTGCTGACTACAAGATTTCGTCTAGCAGGACACAAAGGTGGCAGCAGCTCACCTTGTAGGAGGACTTGCTCAGCATG